CACAGGACATGCTTGGAAGCACCTAAAGAGCCCAACTTCAGCTAATCTGATTCATAGCTGCAGGAGGGCCACATCTTCTCAGTTTTACAGCAGGCGAATTGCCTTTGTCCTTGCTTCTCCTTCCCTGTTCAGCCCAGTCCTGTTTCTGGTTTAAATCTTAGCAGCTTCTCACTCAAATGTCCTCCGTTGCTGCCCCTCCTGCCCCGTGGCACTCGGGTTCTTCTCCATCCCCTCTCTCTGTCATGCCTCAAAACTGTTCCGTTCTCTGAGATCTCGGTGTGTGACAAGAATCAAAGGGCCATCTTGGTGGGAGGTGGGGAATGCTGAGAGAGCCTTTGTCTCCCGCACAGGGCCCGCTGGACCTGGTTGTGTATGGATGTTTGTTCTGGAGCCCTGCCTGTGAGATGCCATCACCTCTCTGGGCAGTGAATTGTGCTGCTTGGTTCTTCGTCCCTGAACGAGCTTGGGAGTGCACGTGGCTGGGATAAACAGAAATGAGCAGGGGAGTTGTTAGGGTTAGGTTGGCTGGGTCCACTGGTACTGACAGCCTAATAATTGCTTCCAAGTAAGGAGATGAAAGGGAACAAACCCACCCACTTGTGTTTGCCAGGGTCCGGTGCTGCAGCATCCTCTGTTACTCTGCCCATATGGTTTGCTTTGAATTACTGATGATTGGCATCACGATGTCTCACTGATGAAACTCATTTAATTAGTCCCCTCATAAATGGCCTTCCCACAAGGCAAAGCTGTTGTCCCAGACAGCACCCTTAGAAAAACATTTTTTTTTCTTGAAAAAATGGATTACATATGTACTTTTCCCTGTATGCCCCCTGACAAATGGAGCATGCTGCTGTTTATATGGTCTTTGAAAAGATGGTTATATCTTAAGATAAAACCATCAGTATATGAAAACAGTTTCTTAACAAAAGCAGCATTTGTTGGAAAACCTTCATCGGTGGTAGGGTGGGAGTAATTAGGTGCAATGTAATCTAATGACTCAAGGCAACAAACAAGCTTTGGCGTAGCTGTGTCAGAACAGCGGTTCTCCTGGGAAACCCCGTGGGAAAGGAGCGCTGGGTCGGAGCGGCACCGCAGGCGCGCTGTGCTCCCCGCAGCCCGGCCGCGGGCTTCCGTCCCTTCCATCCCTTTCATCTCTCACGGTCTGTGAGCGCCCAGGGGCAGCGGCCGTCAGCCCGCCGTGGCTCCGTGCGCAGTTTTTGGATGTAGTGGTTCACCACAGCTCTCAGTATAACTGAAACTAAGTCCTGTTTTCTCTGCGCGCCCCCTGATCCTTTGTATGCTGCTACGTGTGAGCGGCGGTGTTTTACACCAAACACAAAGCGCAGATGAGGGACAGCCTTTGTGATCAGTTGTACAGAAACAGGAGCTGCACAGCACGTGTTCCTGCAGCCAAGTGCTGCCCTGCTGCATCCCGGGGTCAGTGTGTCCTGTGGTGATTTTCAGTACCTCCTGGAGATGTCTGAAGATCAGAAGTTAATTTTCATGCGCCTTTTATAACCGCTTTGTAATTAGTTTCTCTGAACCGGTTTGTTTTTCTGCTGCCAAACACTTCAGTGCTTATATGTAAATTTTCAACATCTGAAGCCTTCTTCCTTTAGAAGAGAATACAGGGCAATCATCAGATAAAAGTCATTACATATTCAGAGCTATTCTGCTCCACCGATAATAAAACATTCTTAGGGGAAGGTGACCTTTCTACAATAGACTTATTAATGTCAGGACTTCAGAATTGTCTTTTCTCATTACAAGTCCTACCAAAAACATTAAAAAGACTGAAGTTTATGATCTTAAAGATATGTCAACGCACCATCATTAAAGAAATTTTCACAGAATGTTATTTATATAACCTATTTTCTGCATTTCATCTGGCAAGCATTCCAAGTCAGTCTTTGTTTAAAGGGAGCTCCGCATTCATGACTGCTCTCTATTCCTGACATCAGCCCAGCACCCCCTGATAAGGCTCCTGGCTCTGTGTCTGTACCCTGAGGTGTCCCACGGCTGCGGGGCTGAGCTCCAGAAGGGGCTGTGCTCCCATGAGCACCAGGGCAGATTTTAGATGAGGATATGCAGAATTCAGCCAAGAGAAAACCTGCAAACACCACTGTGTCATTTTGTAAACAAAAGCTACTGGTGCCAGTTGTAAGCATAGGAGACTTGGGTAATTTCTGCTTATTCACCACCAGTTGACAACAGCTTTTGTTCATGGACACAGGTGGAGGGAGGGGGATGCATTCATCCAACAAAGGCAGCTATAGCAGAAATGCTACATCAGGGCTTAGACCAGGATGAAGCACCTGGCGGAAGGCAGGGCCAGCCCAGAGCAGTTCAGCTGCAATGTACCTGAATGACCGGGGGGGCTGGAGCCAGGATCTGCCTGCCCCCTCCCAGGCCTCCTCAAAGGGTTGGCATGGAGGTGAGGGTATCTTGCTGGAGATCCCTGCCTACTCGAGGCCTGAAGGTAAGCAGATTCTTTCATTTGTTTCTGTGCCCACAGCTGTTTATTTGAACAAATCCTCACTTGCTGCAGCCTTGGACCTTGCTGCTCTGTCATCACTGCTGTGCTTCCCATGGTGTTACAGCAGCTCAACACCTTCTTCCCTCTGCTACTGCTGAGCCCACAGCCAGGTTGGAGTTGGTTTGTTAACAGCAAAATCCGATTTCCATTGTCCTCTGTGTGCTGGGAGCTTGTGTCTGCAGAATTAGTCTCAATGAAGCCAGGAGAGCTCCCAGAGAAAGATGAGCACTGTAGTGACAGTGAAAAGCTGTTGCCAAAAGACAGTTTTGAACATTTTAACTGAAATGTGTGACAGGATTTAGCAAAGGAAGAAAAAGAAAATCAGGACTTAATTTCCTAGGGGCTTTTAGCATTCAGAAAGTTGAAAGGTGAGCCCACTCACCCTGTGGGTTGTGGCAATACGTGCAACTGACAACTTGATTGATCTCTGGCATCGGGAGACATCTGTGCCAGGAGGACATCAGCTCATTCCAATCAGTGATGTTTCTGTGCTATCCTGAACCCACGCACTGAGCTGAGGTAGCTCTGCTGGAGCCCCATCTTCCTGCTGCTGTTCTGCTCTCCACCTGCCCCGGCTCACCCAGCAGCTCTGCTGACTGCTGTGGCAGTGGGAACTCAGCCCCATTGCCTACACACCGGTATCTTTCCAGAATCAGTGTTTTTAAAAAGTGAAATCATTCATCCTACTGGAATTGTGATTCAGACAATGATAGCATCAATATTAATGCAATAATCGAACTTTAATTTCAGTTGCTAAGTAACCTACCATTCCCACTTGAACCAAAACAACTGAAAATGGAGAAAACCTCATGTGAGAAGGGTGTTATGGTGGGGGAGAGCCTCGGCCTGGCACAGCTCTGCAGAACGGCTGCCTGTGGCTCTGCTGGCAGCAGGGGGGGCTTTGGGCCGTCCTGCACTGCCCGAATTCGGTTAGCACAGTCAATCAGAAACTGTGAGGAATCTGTTTGGTTGTCGGTTTTTTTCCCACATGTTTTTGAAGACTGACTGACTGTTTTTATTCCAGCAAAACAGTTTTGTCAGAGAAATCCCAGAGCCCCTTCCCCTGTTTGAAGGTGATCTGATGGAGCTCAGCATGGCCAGCGCTGTGCAGACCTGGCATTAACAGACAGGTAAAGGGCTTTTTTTCAGCAGCTTCTAAACAACAAACTAAGAACATTTAAAAGAGGGAAGGCTGTGCAAATACTTCCTTTGTACTGTTGTGTTTTTGTTTGTTTTTTTCCTGTTACGCATTATCTTGAGAAGCCCAAAGAAGTCTGTTTATCTAGGAAATAAGATTTGGTTTTAGCTGCGGAGGCAGGCAGAGGTTGGGAAGGGGTACGGCAGCCAGCTGGTGCAGGAGGGAGGGAGAAAAGAGGTCATTCATTATAATTTGTCCTCACGGTTGCCAGCAAAGCAGAGGAAGGAACATGTCCTCTGGGATTCCCCAGCTGGCAGGAACATCTTTGCAGGCTGACTTCCAAACACACCAGCAAATGGAAACAAAAATATCTATTCACAGGAGAACTGCAACTTCATGGATGTTGCTTTAATCTGAAGAGCTGCATAATGATGAGAAGCAGAAGAAAAATAAGATCACAATCTCCTAGAAGCAAGGAGCACGGAGGAGCATATCCAAAGTACTTTGATTTTATTTTCAGGGTTCACCAGAGCTTCCATGCCTTTTCTGCTTCTATTTTGTTCTACTTTCCTCCTTCAAAAAGCCAGTTCTGCTTCGTCCCGTGTGATCCCAGTGCTGAGCACACCCCGCTGTGTCTGTGGTGGCCAACAGGACGTTTCTCCATTTCCAGACAGCAGCTACCTCATTTTTCCACTGATTGTAATTTCCTCCATCTCTGTAATTAGCTCACCTAATGCAAAAGCATAACGATCTGCTCACTCCTCTCTCCATGATGATCATCAGCTGCTGAGCGCTGGCTGTGCACCCCCCACTGTCCCACTCCTGTGTTCGCTGTAGGTCGGGTGAGACTCCTCTGACCCAGGGAGATCCCCTGTGCTCACTGTGGAACAGCTGTGTGCAGACATCATCCTGACAGCCTTTATTTGCACATGGGGCGGAACGGGCAGTTCTCTGTCACTCCTCCGGGTCTTCTGATGCTCCTGTAGCATTACTTCTAAATGAAGTCGTCGGTCATGCCTTGGGAACGCTGGCCCAGCCTGCGTGCAGAGGCTCTCTGCAGTTTCTGCTCGGATTTGTTGCGGCTAAAATGCATGAGATGGTGCCCAGCTCCCTTCTCTGCCCCGCTTCTCTACTCAGCTTTACGGGCTGCTGCCAGAGTCCGGAGCGGCCCGCTGTGCCCAGGGGCTGCAGGGGCAGCGCTGGGCCGGATTCGGCTCCGTGCAGAAAGAGGGAGCGGCTGAGCGCCGGGAGCTGCGGGTGCTCCGCGCCGCCGCCTCGTGCCGGGGCCGCTCTGCCCGCCGTTAGCGCCCTGAGCGCCGTTAGAGCCCCGCGGTGACGGCGGAGCGGTGGGCGCTGCTCGAGCTGCTCCATCCCAGGGCTGCGCTGCGAGAAACGCGCCCGTGCGGGGCTGCGGGGCTGCGTGTGCCGCTGCTGCAGCCCGTGGCTGCTGAATGTGCTGGGACTGAAGTTACGGCCTGTTATCCGTGGTGAATGACTTTGATCTCCGTTATTTAGCCTTAATCCCGGCTGTATCGTAGGGGAAGCAGTAAGATTCTCCCACTGCAGACGTATTTTGCTTCCCTCCCTCCCAGCCCCTCCGGCATTGCCCCCGGCCCACACCGCAGGGGCAGCGCTGTCTGTGGGCACACGTTGCGTTTTGCCGCTGTTCTGCTGGGGGAAGCTTTGGCTTCCTGGGTGATTTGAGCAGCTATTGTCTACGCGAGAACAAAGTCAGAATAACCATCCCTGCCAGGCGCTGTTACAAAAGAGAACATTGCGTTCCTTGCAGTTCCTGGCAGTTTATCATGTTCGTTTGCTTGTATCTTTGTGTGTCAATGTCCTGATCAATTATATTGCATCTGCCTGTGGCTGGAATATTGCTATGGGTAGTTCTGATTGGGATTTAGGTTCAGAAATAAGTCATTTATAGTGACTGTAAGTGCAAACTTCAAAACACTGGGGAACAAATAGCAGTCGTAGAGCCACGTGGTCGTTATTTACGTGACAATATTCACTTGTACTCAGTGTCAGTGTAACCTGGTGCTTCACGGGCCACAGCTGCCTCCCTGTGCACTCCTGATGCCAAGAGATTTGCACATGCTGTGACCCCATGGCAACTTCTGGCCAAGACCACCTTCCTGCCACTCAGCAGCACAGCATCCATGAGCATGAGACAAATCCTGCTTTAGAGGGAGGCATAAGGGTGTTTGAACTGTGCAGGAGGTGGGCACTGGGGGTGAGCCCCAGCACTGCTCAGCACAGCACAGCCCTGAGCTGCGGTAACAGCGCCCAGCAGTGGGCTCTGCTCAGCTCCACAGCCTGATTGCATCATCTTGGGCAGCACTGTCACCTTCAGCCTGCTGCAATTTGTAAGGTCTGTGTGGGGAATGCAAATGAGAGAAAAACAAATTTTGTCCTCCAAAAGATGTAGCAAACCATTTTCATCACACGCAACTGTGAGAAATGCAGAGCCTCAGTATGTGCCGCTGGATGTTTTCAGCCTGCAGGCTTTGCTCCAGCTGCTTTTCTGCGGCTATTTCTCGAACTGCTCATTCAATTCTGCTGCTTCTCACAGTGATGTCTCCATCCATGTAATCGCTACATCAAAGCAAGGCCAAAGTGGTGATTGGTGTAAGGGACTTGCACTGGAGGCAGCCGATGCTGCCTATCACAAAATGGAGGAGGAAATTGGTATCGCAGTGTTCTCTAAGAGAGATGGGTGTATATTGCAGTATCAACATTATAGCTATTTGTTTGCGCTTGTATTAAAAACAGTGCAACCCAATTAAAAGAACAAATCATTTCAATACTGAATTCCTGGAATAACATTACTGCAGAATGAGCCAGGGCAGAAGGGAGGAGCCCTCCTTGGTGGGGAACACAGAGTCTGTAGGCATCAAAGGTTACATTTAGAGCTGCAAATTGCCACAGTAATCATTCAGACACAGAAGTTACACAAATATCCCTTGCTCACATCTGTTGCTAATGCCTGGCTTTTCTGTGGGATCTTTTCACAGCGGCTCAGAGGACTCTGGAAGTCCCTCCGTGTGGCAGCCCGCAGGACAGAGAAGCACAGTGCAGGTGAGCCCACATCCATGAGCTCAGTGCTGTGTCAGCCCGGAGCTGCTCCCAGAGGCGTGCGCCATCGCTGTGCCCAGCATTCCTTGGTCCCCAGGACATTGAGCTGCATTATTTCCTGGTAAATGGACACTTTCCCCAGAGACAATCATTCTAACCCAGTTCCAGCAGCTTTCCAATTACTTTTCATCACACTAGTTTTTTTCTCCTAAAATTTTTTCTCTGAACATGGAGGCCGTTTGGTGGCTGTGGGAAGAATCCTTTTTCTTTTTGTTCTCACTGGAGGGCTTTCCTGGTCCATCTCCACTAAGAACACTGCAGAGAATTGGTAAAAAGTAAACGGCATTTGCTTGGACAGCAAGGAGTGGTACTCCCATCCTGAGCCTTGGAAATTCGCTGATTAATGGCACTCTGTAACAGGAGGCTTTAACATCTTGGTGTAGGAAAACACATATACAAACTTCACATAAATGACAAGCGTCACCTTAATTGCTGAAACAAAATTATATAAGAATATCACTTCAGAGCAGGTATAATATTTAAAAGGTGTCAATTTTCTCTCACATCTGCTTTTTAAGGTATTTTCTAGAGAATGAAGGATGCTTTTCCTCTGGTCCTTACACCAGAATATTTTCTGAAACCCGTTATGTGGGTAAAGGCTGCAACGCTTTGCGATTTCAGAGTCTGATATACTTTCATTTAGTAAAGCAGCCTCGTTGCATAAAGGTGATGGTACTGGTATGGGAACTGCTGAGTCACAGCCTGAACTGATGAAGCACCTGGGGAAAGGACCTGCTCTGCCCTGGGAGCACAGGTGGAGGCAATTCAGCTGTATGACCGGAGGGGGTGTAGCCTGGTTCCTCTTTCAGCTCACTTAAGGGCTGACTGCCACCGAGGATGGTTCTTGTCCTGGAGATCCCTCTTTTGTGGAGCTTTTCTACAAGCCCAGTTCTTCGGAGACGGGTGAGCGTTCCTCTTTTTGTAGCACCTTCTCGTTGCTTTGCTCCTGCTGCCGTTACGGTATTTAATAGCACAAATCCCACACGAGTCTCAGGCAGAGGATGGGAATTACGTTTTTAATTACCGTGTGCTCTGTGCCTTCCAGCAGCGGGGCGGGTAATGCGGCCGGCACGTGGCGGGGGAGCCGCCCCGCTTCTCTTCTCTCGGAACTTCTTTGTCCTGAGGCGGACCTGACCGCTCCAGCAGGGCTGCGCTGTGGTAGTTGCTGTGAGCTGGGCTCGAAGCGCTCGTTGGTGGCGGCTTTCTCCGCGGCGAGGAGCGGAGCGCAGGCGGTGCCTCGAGGCAGCCATGAAACCCGCGTGTCTGAGCGCCGCGGATCTGCTCGCGTCGCGGTGCCGCCGACCGGTTCTTCTTTAGCCGCTTTTAGATGCGCAGCGGAGGCTCTCGCGGCGCCGGGCGGCATCTGGCAGGAAAGCTGTGGGACTCGCTCGTCTTTTGACTGCGTCAGACTGTAACTGCTGAAGCTGCTGGGACGATTGAGGTGGCCAGGTCATTAAATGAGGATACTGCACCTTGCTGATAGGCTCTGAAGTCGCAGGAGGGGTATTAGCACGTGTTGTGTATTCCTTTGTAGGCGTCAGAGAAGAAAGCAAGGAAAGAGTAAGAATGGAGGAGGGATTGTATCCCTGGGGAACTGTGGTAGAGCCTGGGAGGTGGGGGAGCAGCCCGTCTGTGCTGCTGCTGTTGTCCCGGTCTCAGAGAGGAGAATGAATCCGCATTATCTCAGCACGTGCTGCTGCCGAGGGCTGCTGGTAGGTGTGAGGAGCCCTGTCCTCTGCTGGCCGTGGGAGTGATGAAGTTGCTGAGTCAGTTTGCTTCTTCCTGTGCTGTGGGTTTGTGTTCCATACGTTTGTGGTGTGGGGGCCGCAATCTGCATCCTACACTTCAGTATCTGTTTCTTTAGAAAACAGACAGCAGTTGCAATTTATATAGAATTGCTCTTTTCAAAAAGAGATGATAGGCCTGATTTGGAATAATTACCAAGTCACCCAAATATTTTGGGTATGACAACGTAAGTCATCCTGCTTCTCCAAGTCTGGAATCTCTATTGGGCAGGGTGGACACTACAAAGCTTTTTTCCTTGACCTCCCCAACCTTAGCAGCAGTAGAACACTGCAGGAATGCATAAGAGACAGGCTGGCTTTCTGGATCCTGCAGCTATTGTTTGCTTCTGTGGTTCTCCTTTATGTGCAACATTGGGTATGTGGGCATGGTCATCTCACAAGGGTTTGTAACCAGATCCCTGGAAGAAAGTGTTTGTTTTTTTCTTTGAGTTTTTGGCTGCATTTTAATCTTCAGTAAACATTTTCTCAAGAAAAAGTGAAAGGGAAAACATGAAGCAGGACTTGGCTGTGCTTTTTTGTTGGGAGCACCTCTGTGACCTCAGGAGGCAGAAGTTTAGAGTGAAGCAGCAGTGGCTGCTGTTTGGATGCTGGGTACTGGGAGAGGCTCAGGCTGCAGTGTGCAGTCAGCTGCTGGGGAGTGAGCAATGCAGTACATCCTGAGATAACATACATTACAAATGGGGAAGGTATATGCCTATGTTTCCAAAGTGAAGTATGCAAACAGTCTGTGAGGCATTGGTGATTTCTGTTATGCTTATCAGGAGCTTGCTGGATTAAGTTTTTTTGCAGTGGCATCCAATGGTAGGAAGGTAATAAGCTTGTAAGTATTTGAGACAAAGCTGCTGTGCTAGTACTTAGCAAAGGGTGTGCTGGAAGAGACAGGCCTCTCACATGGCCTTGGAGATGGACTGCTTCAGAGCGGTCAGTTCTGAGATGCACGTGTGGTTTGTATGGCTCTCCCCTGGGTAAAGCAGCAGCGATTCCCATCATAGGGATATCTGATATATCTGATATTTCCTAGAGCAGGGCTGCAGCATTTGGCTCTCAGGCCCTGCTCAGCTCGGTGGGTTGAAATGCTGCTGGCATCCATCAGAGCTTCTGATGTCCCAGCATGGGGTTTCCTTGTGCTCAGGGGGTGTTCCTCTCCACAAATGGGTTTGGAGCCAAAACTTTCCACTGGGGAAGGTGAAGTGGTGCCAGCCTTCCCATCTCCATGTTAACTATTCAGAAAGCCTTGCTTAGCTCAGAGCAGGTATGCCAGCTGTTCCTAGTGAAAATACGATCCCATCTTTTCCTCTTTCCCAGTAACTGTGCATTTTTTTTTGTTTAAAAATCAAGTGCACAACATTCAGCAACCCTCTTTAACTAGGCTTGAGTTAATCAAGCTGACTTTATTAAGAAGATCTTTGCAACCAAATGAGCTGATTACCAGCAGGAAGAAACTTAGTTCATTATCTGATTCTAAAAGCTTGAATAATTTCAGCCATTGACTTTATTGTCAGGCAAAAACTATTTCAATTATTATTTCTAATAACTTTAGAGGACATCTTTAAAGTTCTTTACTATGACTCCTACTTCAAATGCTACTGCAGAGATGAAAGGAACAAGCTTAACCCAATGAATAACTGATAAACCAGAAATATCACTGCCTTGCCTTGGAACATCACAGATCAGAGCTTGTCCCTTGAATATAATCATTGTGTATGCTATCTCTGGCCTTTATTGGAAGCGAAGCTCTTTTATGATATTCTGTCATTTATGACAGTTCCTCCAGAGAGTTCATTAGGATGAACATTAATGTGGCTGAGTCTGGGAAACTGCTTTTTCTGACATAATGCCAACATATATTACAATACTGTGCCAATGCAGCAGGGAAGCTTTATGGTTGTTTAATGCCTGTGTGTGTGTGTTGCAAATTGCATCACTTTTTAACTCTCTGTAAAGCAGTATCTTTTTTTTTTCCTGAATTGTCACTGCTATAAATATATGTAATAGGGCCTGAACAGCTGTTTTGTTCAGCAGTTATCTATGATGATTATGTATTCTTGGGTTGGTTTTCAACTCTGGAGAGCTGCAATTAATCTATACTGTGCTTCAAACCATCAGAGCAGGCAGTTGGATTTCCCCTTCTTGTTATTAGTATTTCTTAGGATTCTGTATACATAAAAATCTGTATTAGAAACCTCCTGCATTATGTAGTATTAGTAACTTCAAGTCCCCAGACAGGTCAGCTGCTGAGTGCAGGGCAGTGTGCAAGGCAGTAGTGTTGGTCTACATAGTATAGGGTACGTGTAATAAACATCTATTGTTGCTGTCAGAGGATTTCATATATCTTATGAAGTAAAGCATAGTTGAACGTGTTTGCTGCCTCAGGCAATAGATTTCCCCTGCTCTCTCTGTCAGTTCTCTGGGCAGTTTCTCCAGAGAACTGCAGAACCCATATGGGCACTGGTCTCTGCAGCTGCCATGCCAAATGGGACAAGGTCCCTGCCATCACCCCTTGTCCTTAGCAGCGAGAAGGGCTGCAGCTTTGCGTGGGTTCATTCTGCTGTGAAGTGGCACAGAGAGGATCTGGGTGGCTGGAGTGGCAGCCTTTGTAAACCAGGGCCGTGCTTCCCTCCCTGGTTCGCTATGCAGGGAGGCACTGGAGGAGGATGGCTGTCCCTGCAGGCTGTGACCCGCTCAGCACCGCCACCTCCAGCTGTGGGGCTGGGGCGCATGGCCTGCTATGGGGCTGTGAGCTCAGCCTGGGCGCAGCATCTGCTGCCGTGTGCTTCCTGTGGCAGAGGGATGCTGCAACTGGAGCCTGCTGTGTGCTTCTCCCCATTGCCCTGCTCTGATCTCCTTCCTTGGTCAGTTCCCAGGTACGAGAGCCATGCAATTACATTTTTCATTGTTTTCAGTTTCGTCTTGGCCCCCCTGTGCCCGTTGTGCAGCGCTGCTGTGGGAGGCAGCCAGGCTGCGACTGCCAATAAGTGGGGAGTTTGGTGCACTCTCACGGTTCTGTACAAATGGTTATTTCCCTGAATGGCCTGGGTGAGCATCGTGAGCAGCTGATGGGTACGCTGATGTGGCAGCACCAGTTGATGGTGATTTTGGGATGTGATGGGAAGTTCAGTCCACTTCTAAAAACATTGAAACAGAGTTGGCTTTGTGGGGGCTTGGCAGGCATGAGGGTTTTGTTCTCAACTGGAACACAGCAAAAGAGGAATCAGGCTTACAGGGCTATTAACATTTCTAAATGGCTTTGCTTTGCTGCACACAAGTCATTCTGCTCAATAAAATCAGAGCTTCCTTCAATTGTATTTTACGTGAATATTGATATACCAACAGAACAGAGTTCTGTTCAGTGCCATGCTGTGTTCTCCAATGATGTGAGTGATAAATACCAGCATAATAAATTTCAAAACAAGGGACTGTTTCAAAGCCAGCCCCATCCCCCAGTCCCGTGCTTCAACAAAGCCAAAGCAGTACAAGTAGGCAGATTGAGGGCTTTCTATTTCCAGTCTTCTCAAAATACAGTTATTAGTTTCAGCACTGGCAACGGAGTTCTGTTTCCAGCAAGACAGTGCTTTGCAACAGTAGAAACATCAGTTTTGTGATTCTGATCAGCTGCACATGGGGTCTCTGTGCTGGCAGCAATAGGCTCACAGCCCAGCCAGGTGGGAGTAGTGCCCATGGGGTGCTGTGTTGGGTGCAGCAGTGTTTGGGGCTATGGGTGCAGCACCAGGGCTGTTCCTCAGCCTGGGGGCTGCAATCTTCAGTGCCAGTGTGCTGCCAGGGCTGTGGTGCTGGAAGGAGGGAGAGAAGAGAATCCCAGAACTTCATCAGTTAAATGGTGAAAGCCTCTGTTTATCTGGCTGCATTCATTCTGCCAAGAGCCTCCCCTTCTTCCTCTGAGTGCTCTGACAAGTGAAACTCCTGCAAATAAAGCAGGGGATCTGCTGAATGCACAGCTATGCATGATGTAGTGGTGCTGGAGCCTCCTGCGTGGCTCACCATGAGTGTGCAGCCCCACCAGTGCTAACACCCCATTGTGGGTGGGGAGTTCTGTGTGCTGCTGCTTTTTGGTGCGATTTGGGCATCGGAGTCTGCCAGGAATTAAAGGCTGATTGTCAGGAAACTTGTTAGCAGGTACAGTGCCCAGCAGAGATCCATTCGTGTGTATGTATGGTTAAAGGAGTGTTGGTGAGCAGCCTGTATTTGGAGGGCGGCATGGATAAATAACAGCAGTCGACTTTTCTTGGGTTCATGTACTGCACCCATAAGTCATGAAAACAATTTGGTGCTGGAGAAGATATCTTGGGGAGGAAAACCCAGCATCCTGAATTCTGAGCAAAAGTATTTTGTGTCTCCAGACTGGATGTTGTGGAGGAGAAATGCACAGCTGAGATGTGCCTGTCCTGGGGAGGAGAGCACATGGAAAATGGTTACAGCCTGCAATAGTATTTACTTCATTAATAGAATGTTATGCAACATCACCCGAGTTAAAATCAAGGTTGTAATTAGTAGGTGGTTCATCCTGCTCCAACAATGCAGAATAATTCTTCTTTTTCACCCCACAAACAGTAATTAAAGAGAAATACTATGTAGCTGCACCTGTTTTTCATTACATGGTTGCCACAGTGAGTAAACCAAATCTTTTATTGATGAGAACAGCCACAAGTTTCAAAACTGAGTGAAGAGCACAAAAAGCCCTTGGAGGCTCCCAGAGACACGCAGGAAATCTGAAATTATGACAGCATATGGTGGCACATACTGATCAGCGGCAGCTTCCTCCCCCCCACAGCTCCTGGTGGGCTTTCAGCTTCTCTGAGTGCTCTCACCCTGATTATTCCTTCTTCTTCACCCGTAAGTAAATCTTTGGTGGCAGGAATCAACGCAGCACTGCACAAATACTGCTGCACACCTTCCGTTATTTTCATAGCCTGAAAAAGCAGATGAGGCGGCTGGGCTGAAAATAGTTGGTGGCCGTCGGGCGCGAGAGGGACCGACGAGAGCCGCTTTGCTTATGGGAGGGCGATGGGAGGTGGTGCGGGAGGTGAGGAAGGGGCTGCGGATGCTGCTGCCCTCTGCGGACCGGACGGGCGCCGTGCAGGAGCGAATCGCAACGCTGCTCGGCGGCGCGGTGTCCGAGGGCCCGGCGAAACGCGCTGCCTCCTGCCGCCCCGTGTTCCTGCGGCTGTCCCCCCGCTGCTCTGCCGTGTCACAGCCGCACGGCGGGTTTCTCGGCTCCCCGCGTGGCAGCAGAGCTGTGCGGAGACTCCTTAGGGACGCCCGCACCGGGAGAGCGGCGATGTTAATGCGGTGCAGAGTGGGGCAGCTCTGCTGGTGTGGAGCGCCAGTGCTGCTGTGTAACTCATCTGTGGCGAGCACGGGGTTACGCATCAGCGTGTATTTTTGTGCGGGAGGTGAGAGCCGGTGGTGCCAGCAGAGAGGTGCGTGGCTGGCGAACGGTGTCTGAGATGTGTCCGCGGAGCTCGGCCCAGCAGAGCCGCTCTGCCTGCAGGGACCGCCGGGCAGCGCTGCTGCAGCGACACATCCTGGGGCGGGTCGGCAGTGCCGATGCTCCATAGCAGTCCTGTAGCAGCAGGGAGGCAGACGGTCCTGCTCCATGAGCGCACCCCTGGGTCACCACATTAACCGCATCGCTGTGCTTCTGCGAAGCCATTGCTGTGCTGCTGATTGTAGCAGTGTTTACACCTGGTTACGGCTGAGACATGGAGTCAGGCTGTGTTTGTGTGCGTCTGGCTGAGATATTTATGCTGTTTGCCAAGTTCTCCGAGTGGAAGGACATATGCTGTCACTTGTTGGCCGTTATTTATTGCCGTTCTCTTTTTATAGGTGCATGAATATTTATTGACATTGATTAATATTTATTTCGCATAAATAATACATCACTGAGAATAATGCAGAAATACACCAAATGTGTGCAACAAATGTGGCAGTGGTGGCTGCTTGGAGTACTGGGGGGACCTGGGGCTGTGAGTGCTGCAGTTGGAAATGCTGCTACCAGCCACTGCCCTGTTGCAGTGCTTGCTGTTGGCTGGTTTTTGCTCAGTAGGACCTGGAAAACCCTATCAGGTCTCATGGGTTCGTTGTACTGATTGTAGTGCAGGTAAACAGTGCAAAAACTGAATCCTGAGAGAACCCGCAATCCTGGGATCAGTTAGCTCAGATGAGAGGGAAGGAGGAGACCAACATCAGAGGCAAGCAGAGCTCCTCTGTGGGCAAAAGTAGGTCATTGTGAGGCAGCAAAGAGTTGAAACAAAAGAAAACAGAGAGAGAAGAAAAAAGGGACGGATTGCATCACTGCATTGCAGGAAGGATGGGGCAGGGCAGCCCTGTTGGTGCACAAAGGGGCAGTGCTGCTGTGGGGCCTGTGCTGTAGGCTGGGTGCAGTGCCCTCAGGGCTCCCTGCCTGGTGTGGAAGGCTCTGTGAGGGTCACTTTGGGATGGACAGCATAGGGACAAATGAGTAAGGGAAGTTTGGACGCATTTTCCCAGTCATTACTTAGGAGCAGCAGTCTGCAGAGCCAAGCTGAAAATCAGTCAATGTTGATTTTGTTTTGCAACGTCTACAGCTTCATTTTTCCTTGTTAGCTTAAGTATTTTTCTGCAAGAAAGATACATTGGCAGAATTGCTGGTCTTCCTGGGTTATTTCTTGCTTTGCAAATTTATACTGTTCCATCTTATCTGAGTGGAAATTTCATTAGGGAAATTGCGAGGGTTTTTCTTTTAACAGAGGTATAATGCTTATTTGGTCAGACTGTAGCTGCCAATTCCCAGGTGTCGTTGTGGCATTTGTTTAATTAAGAGCAAAATTACCTGCACAGCCAGAGATGGGCGCTGGATGGGGGGCTCAGCCCAGGAGCTGTTCCTGAGGACTCTCCTCCTCTCCTGAGGGGTTCTGAAAGCCTGGAGGGGCACGAACCCATTCAGACCTCGTAACAAGAAGTGAGAAATGTGGAGAAAATGTGCTGTTATAAAGGACTCGGACCTTCGTGTACGTTTGGACTGTGCCGTACCGCTGGCTGTTCCTGTTAATGTGTTTCTCTGCTAATGGCTCTGAGCAAAATACGTTCCCAGAGTAGTTTACAACAAGAATTAGTGCCATCTCTTCCCCATTGCTCTTCTCCCATCGATGATTAAAAGGGAGAAATGCAGAAATCCATTTCTGGGAGGGCTTTTTTTCCCTCGACCGCTGATCATTCTCTTCCCTTATAAAGAATAAAGCAATTAAAGATCACTGAAATTGCCAGTTTCTGGGAAGTCTGCTTTATTTGCTTGTAATTTCAGGAGGTGATTTGTGTTTGCAAAAGGAAAAGTGGTCAGAATTTAAAATGTCACCTGGAGCCCCTGCAGAAGTTTGCTCACCTGTCAGCTCCGTAAGCACGGAGGTCCTTTACTCCTGGGAGATCGTCTGATTCTAGCTCTTGTCAGCATGGCTGCTGTGGGGTGCATGGGGTTAACACGAGCCGTGTCTGAGCTCACACCTCGCCTGCTGCACTGAAGGTGTCCCGTGAGGAACCTGGCGCACACAGCTTGGTGGCAGCAACTGCCTGAAGGTGTGTGCAGGGAGGGATGCATGTGAGCCATGCGGTGCTGGGCCACTTCTTGCAGAGAGACCCGAATGGAACCAACACATCGGGGCTTTTGTTCAGCCCTTCTCACAGTGACAAACAGCACCGAGTGGCATCGCAGCAAACGTCTGCGAGGACTCTGGTAACAGATGTGCTGAGGCTGGGAAAAACTTATTTTAGATAAGGCAAATAATCTTTTCAATTATCTTTTGCTGAAAATGTTGTATTTTTGTAGGCATTCAAGAACATTATGGCACAAAACGCTGGCCTAATTACCATTATCTCTTCTATTATGTTTGCAGAAATATTTCTCAGGTTGTCACACAGGCGCCCGCGCTGCTGTTGGGGCTGAGTCCTTCAGACAGCTGTGCCGTGCCGTTTGCTCTGCGCGCTGCAGGTGGGGAGGGACCCACGGGGCCGAGCCGTGTCTGTGTCACACCTGGGCTGTGGCTCTGCCCCTGCCCTGCCAGCTGTGTGCTCACATCCTGCCGAGCACCCACTGCCCAAACCGCGCTGAGCCCACCGCCGCCTGCTGCGCTGCACCAGATGCCGAGTGGTCTGACTGGAGTTTGCTCGCACCTCCTGCAGCCGTGGTGTACACAGCTTCTGAAAAGGTGGTGTGTGCGGCGCTGTGCGATCTTGATGAGAGGCTGATTTGATAAGAATTCCATTTAAACTTCTATTTGTGCTGGTGAGCCAGGATGTTAGTGATGCCACAAATGTTTGGTGTTGCAGACGCCGTTAGGAGCGATGCTGCACAGCCTATGGGCTGGAGGTGGGGGTGTTGGGGCACGGCTGTGCCCTGCCCTGTCCTGATGGGGGCTGATGGTGCCCGCGCCCACTGCTGGGGCTGCTGCACCCCGTGTGTCGCAGGGCCTGTGCTGAATTGCCTGCAGTTTTTTCCTTGGAAAAAATCAAACGTGCTCTGAAAGTAATGGCGTTCTCTGCAAAACTGAACTACAAAATAAAAGGCGGCCTTATCTGACTTAATTTCCTTTTGCTTTGATAGGTTTTGCAATAAATTACTTATTTAGTGGATAGCATGAAACATCACACGGTGATATTTCAGACATTCAAATGCCTTGATCATTTAATAGTATTTTCCCTCTTTTATTATGCTATAGGCAGAATTTTAATTATAATATTTATGCAAATTCTGTTTGTATAATCATATTTGAAAGATGGTGTGGATCAAATTTTCCAGCCAATTTATCTAAATACAAGCTTTAAACTTTCCTTTTATCATTGCCTTGAACGCTCTCTCCCTCACTTTGTCCTCTCAGGCATTTTCTGCAGGCACTTTGTGGTGTTGGCTGTGGCCTCCAGTGAGAACGGTGTGCTTTGGGCGCTCAGCGCCTTTCCCTGCTCCTCCACCTGCTGACAGCACCACGTGTGAATCCTCTGTGCCGCGTCGGTGTTCATTAGCAAATAACTCCAGGGTTGTCTAAATGAGAAAGGCAATTAGGCGGATCTGTGGAAGACAAAGCACGTATTGATGAATGTAATGATGACATGTGTGGAATAATTTTGGACTCAAAGTAAAAATCAAAAGAAAAAAGAAAGCAGGTGTCTTCCAATTAGGGCATAAATCAACAATTACGAGCTCTCTGACTGCTGTCGAAATGCACTCTGCGTAGCGCTCCAAAGGAAGGAAGCCACCAATATTTTATATAATTAAAGGAAATTATGTATCCAATACCTTTTAATATGATTAACAGCTGTAGGGAGAAGCTGTCTAAGTGCAGCAGTTAAGGGGAATATTAGTGTGCCGTTTACACAGAGCTAAACAAGCAGGGCTGTGTGCCCGGCTGAGGGCTGGGAGCGTCTGCATGGGGGTGAGAGCAAACCTGTGTTTGGGTAACAGATGGGAGGTGCGAGGCTGCGGGCACTGCGGCAGTGTCCGTCTGTTTGTTGTTCCCTGGGGTCAGCTGAGCTGTTCCCTGAGCTCAAGCAGGCCCTCAGCACAGCACAAAGATGCCAGGCTGCACAAGAGGGATGTTATTCTGTGATTAAAAATAAAATAGATACACTCCTAAATACATCATGCAAAAGAGAGAAATTAACATGGGGCTGAGCTTTTTACGAGTTTGCAGCTCAGTCATCTGCACTCATTTTGGAAGCAGTGGAACAGAATGGGCTGTGCAGGGCAGCACTGGTGAGCTGCAACCTGAGGTCCCAGGAGCAGGGAGAGGCGCAAGGCTGGCAGCAGGGCTGCCTGCAGCACTTGGTGGGAGTGGGATGGCAGCTGCTGTGGGCCTTGCAGGGCACAGCCGGTCCCCCCCACTCGGCCCTGGTGCCCTGCACAGCTGTAGGGAAGTGCTGCAGTGGTCGGAGGCCCTGGAGGTCACATTTGTATTGGCACCACGGCAGCCTGCTGGGACCAGCCTGGGGACAGCCTTTCCCCGTAGCACAGCTGTGTTCTGTGTGGCTCTGGCTGCAGTGGGCAGCTAGAGGAGCATCCAGCGTGTGGGGATGCTGTGCCAGTTCTAAGCAGTGTTGACACAGCAGGAAATCCTGAATGCGACAGAATGCCAAAAAAAAAAAGATCTTCAGGACACTGTGAAGGGACGGTGACAGGCCTGGCTCCAGCTGCACGCAGACCAATGCTGTAGGCACCTGGAAAATGCAGCTCAGGAATGAGCTGTGCTGGCAGCAGCATAGGCTGTGCATGGAACGATGCCTGTGGGGCACAGAGCTGCAGCAGTGCTGGCACAGCCCCGCGGTGCTGTCCTGCCCGCCACTGGCTGCCAGTCTGCGGCACAGCCCAGCTGAGTTTTCCCTCTGGTCCACTTCCTGGAGCAGTGTGAGTGCTCACTGCATCTGTAGCGTAACATGGGAGGGTGTGAAAACATGGGGAGGAACACAGCCACTGTAATCTTTTAGACATCTCTGGCTCCTCTCATGTGTCTAAAAGCGCTGTGTCTGCTTAATGAGGGTTTGGATTCGTCCCACTAAATTACCTTAGCAAACCCCCCGCTAGAACATAGTCTGAGAAGATGGAAATCAATGCCTGGATGGTGGAACTTGCCTGCTCCTCTTATTTCAGGCAGTTAAATGACTGAGTAATAGATCCATAAATGAACATCTTATTAGCCTAATCCTGAATGGAAGAATACACAGATCAGCCATTTGTTCCATGGGTATCACTTACACCCGCCATCCATCTTAGTCACAGGAGTGCTGCGTTCAATTTGTCAGTGCCGAGATGAGAGCTCTCTGAGAGGGATGAGCAGGAAGGGCAGCCTGAAGCTCTTTTGCTGTAGCCAGGCAGAGCTCTGCAGAGCAGTGGTGCACGCAGGGACACGGCCCAGGGCTCACACTGGTGTCACTCCTCAGCCCAGGGCTGCCATGCCTTTCCATGAGCACCTGCCCAGGAAAATGAAAAGCATAGGCAGTCCCCAGCAAGTGGCAGTGTTAATGCAGTGCCTTGGCTTGGCAGTACCTGGTGGCACTGGGCTCCCTCACACTGTCCTGGTGACGAATGTGGCTGCAGCACTGCAGGTCAGCTGAGCTGCGCGCCCTGACGTTGTGCTGAGGATCACTTTGACTTCAGAATGAAGTAGTGGGCAGATTGGTTCTGCTGCGGTTGGTGCAGGGGATGCTGGGTGCTGTGCTCCCCAGCTGCTGTCCTGCGGGTGCTGCACTTCCTGCCATGTGGTCTGGGATGGGTGCAGTGGGGAGAGCAGCATCTGCACAGAGTGGCTGTGTGCTGTGAGGCCTCTGCGTGTTCAGTGCTTCGGAAACACCCTGCTGCCTCTGCAGTGCCAGGCACCGTGCTCTGCACACCCCTGTGCTCCCACATCCCTGTGCTCCTACACCCCTGCACTTTCCACTGCCCCTCTGTCCCTTCTTGGCATGCAGGCTCTGTCCTGTTTCAGCTCTGCGTACAGCACAGCTCCTTAATGTCACAGCTGTGTGATTTAGGCTTTTGATCAGGAGGATATAGTGATCCGGAGCACTTTTAATGAACTGTGTATTTATCTAGGGAGTCATACCGCTTTCATCCTCAACATAGCTAATAACCATAGCTCAAAAGGGGCCACTGGCTCTGCATCTCATTTTCAACTTCTGCCTTTTAAAGGAGATAATGATGGAATGAAGGTGGCACTGGAGAACAGCTCTGCTCCCAGTGCTGTCCACAGGATGGGGAGGGGGCTGTGTGCCCAACCCTGTGCCCAGAGCCCTGGGGCTGCCCGCGGTGCTGTGCCAGCCAGGGGTGCTCCCAGTGCTCGCTGCACAGGAGCTGCCAGGGCAGAGGGGAAGGGAATGCTGCTTGAGGAAACGGGGGGAGGCCAGGCTGTGTGTGGAGCTGTGCATGGGGCTGTGCACAGGGCTGCTCCTGGCGTAACTTCTCCCATAACCAAAAGCAGTTGAACTGCAAAGTAAGTGGTAATTCTGAGGTTTCCGGATTGTGCTGCAGAAGCTGTGTGCGTAAACAAGAATATTCTTCTTTTCTCTTTTTCTGTGGTAATAAGCATTCTGTGTCAATTGGAGAGCAGATACACAATCTGCTGGGACTTGACAGAGGGAAGATCAGAGGCAGGTTGTCAACCGATCAAAGTAGCAGAGAGCATTCAGCAGTGCATCGTGGTTTGTGTGGCAGAACGAATGTAATTGACAGCGCAATGCAGACGTATTACCAGTTCTGATCCAGTGGTGCTAATTACAGAGCAGTGTTAACAGGGAAATGCAGTTTTAGCATGGCCCACATAGCATAAGGAGCTGAAACAGTTCCATTAAAGAAGGAGACCACATCACAGGCCAAAGCAGAGCTGTGACCGCGGGGCGCTGGGAGGCACTGGCAGCTGTAGCTGTGCTGCTCCTCCCTTTGCCCTGTGAAAGGATGCCCTTATATTTACAAAGCAGAAAGATGATTTTTAAAAGGTGAAAGTATTTCTAACTTCGATAGTGTGGCTAGCTCGGCTCAGCGCAGTGTTACAGCTATCTCTCTCCTCTGTGATAACTCAGAGAAACAATAAATGTCTCCTTACGGCAGACTGACATTCAGTATTGAAATTGGTCTCCTAATCTTTATGTGATTGCTTTCTCTGTGATAGAAATATTGCCTCTTGCAGAGTATTTATTGTCTGCTTCTTTCCAAAGTATTGACTTTATGTAACGGTTTGATATACATCAGATCCTTTATAGATTTAATAAACTCTTCTGGTCAGTCTTCTGTTGTAAACACATTGAGATTTATGGCCATCTTTGTGCAAAGCCCTTTTTTGCTCGAGTTCTCTCCTTGCAGCCACCGTGGTGGGAGTGCTGTGTCCGTCGCACAGGCGCTGCCAGCTGCAGGCGCTGCTCCGCACCGCGCTGCCGTGGGCCGGTGCCCATCGCTGTGTCCCTCTGTGCTCAGGCTCTGGTGCTGCTGTGCTGTGAAGGTCGGTCCTGGCGGTGCAGCTCTCACCCTGTGCTCCCTCAGGGCAGTCCTGCAGTGCTGCACAGCTGAGTTATAAGAAGCAATAGCTCTCTGAATGGGAATCAACTTTCCAGAAGTGGCCTTCAAGAAATCCAGCAAAGCTTTTAGAATTCACCCATTAAGTGCAAATGCTCTCTCCTTTATAATGCATTAACCTTCCTCTGGCAGCAGGAAAGCAGCTTTTCATCTCACTGCTAAGTTATTAAAAGAGCATGTGGTGAGAAGCTTTGGAGTGACATAGATCAATACAAATCATGGAACACCACAGACTCCTGTTTTCTTTGTGGAGGGATTACTGTTTATAAATGCACACTTTCTTTTGTGGAGCAGGAGCCAGCAGCTTGCACCATGCGTGGTGCTGCACTTTGGGACCACTTCTGGGGCTTCCTCCAGGCAGAACGTCCTGGACCGGAGCTCTCATAGAACCGCAGAGCCATGGAATTGAGCTAAAGGGGCCTTTAGAGGCCATCGGGTTCCACTGCCCCACAGTGCACAGCTCCATCAGAGCTCAGAGCCCCTCCAGCCTCACCTTGACTGTCTGCAGAGCACCACCCCCTCTCTGGGCAGCCTATGCCCACCACCCTTACCATAAAGAACTTCCTTATATTCAATCTAAATCTCTCCTCTTTTAGTTTCAAACCATTTCCCCTTGTCCAATGCTCTTGTTCTGGGAGATGGAAGAGAGTGAGCTGAATTTCCATTCCCTTCTAATGGCTTCAACAGATGAAAAAATGTGTTTTGTTCAGCTCTGAATGGACTCGATGCTTTTGTTGTTGTTCCTTTTATTACTGCCCTTCACATCCTGGCCCTGGTGAGAACACTGGTCTGTAGTAAAAGTCAGAGGGCTGTCTTCTGCCTGCAGGGCTTCTCTGGGTGCTGCTTGGCTCATGCATGAGTGATGCCGTGTGGGGATGGAGCTGCACCAAGCAGGGAGGAGCCTCACAGGAGTGATAATGCAGGATTTGGGGGTGATGAAGAAACATCTAGGTCACATTTTGGGGCAGGATGACAACTGGCAGCATGTCAGTGTCTCCTTCCCCAAGCCTGGTCTTTGGGAATAAGGCATAGTTCAAACGAATGGCAGTAAGAACAGCCTTACAGCTCTGTGCTGAGGCTAGATCCTTCTGCCTGCGTATATGATTCATTACAGCCTGTGTTCTATTTAAGTTTACATTTTAAGTGCTGTGGTTTTTCTGTCATCGCTGTGGGCTCTGCACGTTGCATGGTGCTGCTGTCCATGGAGCCTGGGATGCTGCCTGTGCTCTGCCTGGTGCTGCCCAGACTGGCACAGCTCAGGGCATGGGCTGCCACCGGCGCTGGTTGTGCTGCGTGGTGCCACGGGAAGGTGACTGCCTGCAGTTTGCCCACTCCATTGCAGGCAATGTTGCACCTGGCTGGAGCCCCCTTCAAACACGTGTCAGTAATGGCTTCCAGAGTAATTACTGCTCCCAGCTGCCACATTGGCTCCTATTGTGGCACCAGCTTTGTCACCAGCAGAGCACTGAGCAGAGCAGCACGTGGAGCTGCCATCTCGCAGCATTATTTCCTCTCCATTATTTCCCCCTCCTGATCTATCAAGAAATAACCACTTACAGCGGCAGGGACGTATTGCGCTCGTGGAGATGGCTTAGCTGGGACACAACCACTCATTTTTCCTTGCTGATATTTTATTAATATCCATTATTAACCTTGATTCTCCTTCCCCATAGTGCTTTATCATCCGCACTAATTAATTCTTCCTGCAGGATCTCAGGATGGGGTGGGCAATGC